TAAAAATCATAGACTTAGTGCGATTAATCTTCCTGATTATTAAATCAACAATGTTAAATATCAACTTGCTATGTTCAAACATAAAATAAGCACAGAAGGTTTTTTTCTTATTATGCTAACACTGGGTTTAAATAAATTAAGTGCCCTATGTCAACAAATATTCCAGCACACTATCCATTTTTTACAATCTGTGAAAAAATCAACCACTGTTCTGTTCTGTTTCCTTTACAGAGTTCTTCCATACCAAGACACTTGTTATGGCATATGGCTTGATTTAACTGAAAGCTCTGGAATCATTTAAACAACCTTTTTTTGCCCCACAGTCATCTCAACCTGCAACCCAATGCCACACTGATCTTTTTTCTTTAATGTAATTGGATTCAGTTTTCTGTTTTGTATTTTATAAACACTACTCTCCATTCTAGTACTTAGGCGGAAATATTTGAAGAAATTTAAATGTTTAAATAGTCCTACCCTCATTCTATAATTCTATATAATAAAATATTGGTGTGACTATAAAAAATAATAAATGGCTCTATTTAGGTATGCCAAAGCCACAAATCCTTTTGCTTAAAAAGAAAAAGAGTGAGTGACATGTATTTATTATTATGAGACATAAATAATACAATAGTTACTTTGATATAACACTTTTCATTTACAATCTAATCCCAACAGTTACTTAGATAATGCACTTTTCATTTGCAGCCTAATCCCAAATGTATCCAAAGAGTATAACCGCCATACTGAGAATGGAAAGAAAATCTAGCCCCAAGGTTCGTCTATTATTTTCTTACAATATCCATATTATTTGGTGGCTGACGACTGTATTGACCTGTGAATGGCATGCTGGAATAGCTCTCCCTAAAGTGAGTGAGTACAGGATAAATACTAAATGTATTTGATTTAGTAAATCAAATAAGTAATTGTAGTTTAGTAAATTTAGTAAATTTGATTCGTTAAATATAATTAATATAATTTTCTAGGTCTTTAATAATTTCTTCTTCTTTCGCATTAAAAATTATAGTAGTGGCAACATATGAAGAGATTATACATCAAGGCAGAAGAGACTACAGTTGGTCCAGAACGCAGCTGCGCGAGCTGTCGTGGGTGCATCTAGGTACACCCACATTATACCAATTCTCCGCGAGCTGCACTGGCTCCCTATTGGTCTCCGGTCACAATTCAAGGTGTTGGTTATTACCTTTAAAGCCCTACATGGCTCAGGGCCAGGGTATCTTTGAGACCGCCTTCTACCGCATAACTCCCAACGATCGATAAGATCCACAGAGTTGGTCTCCTCCAGGTCCCATCAGCTAAACAATGCCGGCTGGCAGGCCCAGGGGGGGGAGGGCCTTTTCTGTGGCTGCCCCAGTTCTCTGGAACCAGTTACCTCCTGAGGTCCGGACCATCCCCACCCTATTGGCCTTCCGAAAAGCGGTGAAGACCTGGCTTTTCCAGCAGGCCTGGGGCCGTTGATCTTGCTCTTGCGAGATCCGGTCATGAATGGTATGAATGAGTCTTAATGTTTTTAATGTTTTTAATTCTTAAATGTTTTTTATATGCATTGTGAGCCGCCCTGAGTCTTTGGAGAGGGGTGATATACAAATTGAATAAATAAATAAATAAATAAATAATTCTTTTTTTTTTCTGGATGGGAATTGCAGTTGCTTTTTCCTTTAATCCAGAATACAAAATAATCATTATTTAATGGGTCTGTGGCTACAACTCGCAACTTTTTTTTTAGGACTGTAAGAAGGTGTTTAATAGTATTAGAATATTATCAGGTTCCCTCCTCCCCCAGGGATCATAATGAGAATTGAAATAGGAGGTAACTGGAAACCCAATTACTCCTATCCCTACCCTTAAATTATTCCTAAATTATGATTCTTCAGATTCCTAGGGAATATGAAAGAGAAATATTATTAGTCTAAATGTGAATGCTAGGGACTAAAATAATCAGTTTTATTTAAACCTAATTACATTTTGTTCTAGTGAAGTTTGACACCATTCAATTTTCATTCAGAATTCAGCAATATGATTTTTGTGGTGTTCCAAAGTCACAAAAATAGAACTGATATACAGCATAAAACCTGTAGATCAGGTGTTGCTCTTCTTCTGGTCTAACTGATAAAGAGTAACATATGGAGAGCTGGAAAACAGAAAAAAATAACCTTTGGTGGGAGAGTGCAAGTTTGGAAGATTTGATTTTTATATTAAAGTTGATACATCCACACTCATATTCAAATGACAACTAATCAAATGCACAAACACGTGCACAGTGAATCAAACCAATGATCAACAGCTATGTATCACTATCTTGCTTGATCTCATAGAAAGTTCTGGAATCAGAAATACAGAATAAATATGTAAAATAAATAATGAATATCTTGCAATATTATTCCAAGTTTGTCCATTTGTCTAGTGCAGTGGTTCTCAATCTGTGGGTCGGGACCCCTTTGGGGGTCGAACGACCCTTTCACAGGGGTCGCCTAAGACCATCGGAAAATACATATTTTCAATGGTCTTAGGAACAATTTTATGGTTGGGGGTCACCACACCACGAGGAACTGTATTAAAGGGTCGCGGCCTTAGGAAGGTTGAGAACCACTGGTCTAATGGTTAATGCAGCAGGCTAGAAGATGCAAGACTGTGAGTTAAAGTCCCATTTTAGCCATGAGAACCAGCTGGGTGAATCTAGGCCAGTCCCTTTTTCTCCATCCAACCTACCTCAAAGGGTGGTTGTTTTAGGGAAAATAGAAGGTGTGCTGGATATGTTCATCCCTTGAGTTATTTGTAAAAATAATAAAGATGGGATACAAATAAATAAATAAAATTAAAATAAACATTATGCAAACACCCAACCAACACAACACCCTTGCTAGCTCCTCAGTGCATATATGTTTGCAGAAATACAGGGAAGTATAGATATGCAAAAACAGAAACCATTTTATACATATAGAAGGGTAAAACATGTTTAAATGACACTAAAACTAATGTTCATTATTCCAGAGGATAATTTATAGAAAGGCAGAGTTTAAAGATTAAATGTGTTAGGAAAATTAACCCTTATAATTTTTATTTTCTGCTTATGTAACTGATTAAATAAAAAAGAAATCTATAAAACATATGTGTACCAATAAACAAGAGGCGTACTTCATAAAACATTTGTAAGAATGTATCAAGAGACAAAGAAGTTTTCAGCATTAGTTATAGTTTCAATTCAAGTTATTCATTCTTGGTATCAAATCACATAAAATAAATAGGTTTCACAACTAATAGTTTTCATTCTTAATCTATGTTGATATACTTTAATAGAAGTCATGTAATAATTTATAAGATAATATGTCCATACAGAACAAAAGTATTCACACTGCACACTTAAATTGTCATTATTATTCCATCTTCTCTATGATTTTGAAAAGTGCTAATTTTAGAGGGGGAGAGGAATCTTAGCTACTTTTAATAGCATCCTTGATATTTTATCTAGTTTCCTTTCTCAAAAAAAAAATGGGATCCTATGATCAGTATACTTTGAACAGTGTAGCAATAGTATTAATATTGCTTTCCTCCCCAATAGATGACTAGAGAGAAGGAATTCATAGAATTGTCTCTGATGTTTCGCTAAAAGAGGATTCAGGGGCTATGAATCTTTCCAATCCTCACTGTCCACTCCAAAAATGCTATCTATGTTCACACAATATACTTATTATTAATTAAACTATGGTTTACTCAACTCACTCACTTTTCTGGATTTGTAGCACATATTAAGATATAAACAAAGCATAAGCTAAGAAGTACACTGACTGGGTTTATATAGCTTTCTAAATAAAATGTCATTGACTAATTTTTGGTATAGAGTGTCATGTGAAATATATTTAACATTCAGTCATTGAAGTGCCTGACTTTTCATCTTTCCACTTGGTTGGTCTTGACCTGAATGTATCTTCCCATAGTTACAAAAAGATAATTGGGAAAGATTCAGCCTTGTCCTATTTCTCGATAAATTCTCATCAATATTTTATTTTCCAAAGAACCCCAAAAGGGAAAAATATCAATCAATAAATTAGCATTAATCCAAACAATTTCTAGCATACTGGCAAATTTAGTTATATGAATTTGATGTGTCACTTGTGTTGCTTTAATATGCAAATCAAATTCATGTACAGCAATCTGCCAGCACAGCATAAATTGTGTGGGCATTCTAAGATATTATAATGCCAATTTCCAAAGAGAGAGGGGGGGAGGGGGGGAGGGAGGGAGAGAGAGAGATCTTCATCTGTGCAATTCTTTCTGAGTGTTACCTCATCTACTTCAGTGTAACTGATGAACCCCCAAAGTCTGTGAAATAATATTAGAGGACTTTGGTAGATGAACAGAGTGCTTTTCACAATCATAGCCTGATCTACATACAGTATCTGCATTAAGAAGAATGTTTTCCAAGGGAAAAAATATTTCTTTGGATACCTTTCCTAAATTATCTCATTCATCAACTGTTCTTTAAGGAGAAAAGAGGAATATACACCACCACTCCAAAAACCCCATAACCTAAAAAGCTAGATAAATACTAACATAACCATACTGGAACAGTAATCGACCCATTTAATTTAGCTTTAGGTTTTCCAGCAAGGGATCAATATGCCAAAGGAAAATGATGCTGTGCATCCTCAATTCCTAGCATCTGACTGTAGCTTTTCTCCAAACAAGATGGTTACAATCTCTGCCTTCCGTGCACGCCCTGAAGGCCTCTCTTCCGTGCTGATGCCTGATAGCACCCGAATGGCTCGTAGCGTCCTTCGTAGCCTGGCACTGTACCCTCTCCTTAAATCTTCCCAACCACCCTCATGGCGCCCTCATTGGCCAGCTATACTGAATAACGAAACGACCAAAGCAGTCTGGCGAGGAGAAGCAAGTCCGAACTGGAGGAAATCAGCTCTGAAGCGGTTAATTTCTCGGGCTCCCAAATTGATCAGCGCGGGGACGTCAGCCTGAAATGAACTTGCCTTGTTCGCCGAGGTTCGAAGACAGCGGAACTCAATCAACCACGGGCCAAGCGGTTCAAAGCCGCAATTCATCCCTCCGCGCCTCTGAAAAATGGGAGGTGACAGTTCATTTTGCCAGTGACAGTCTGTCGGTCTCGCTCAGTGCTTCTCCCCCGTCGGTGGCGCGGCGGAGGTAAAACGCTTGTTTTCTGGTAGCCTCACTTTGTATTCCACTCAGCTGAACAGGACAGTGTGAGATCAAAGGTGGAAAAATCTCCTATCCACCTGCTATTCCGGTCCCCTCTCTTCTGCCAACCAATTTTTTTTACACAAAAGCTGCACCCAGAAATAGAAAAGTGTGTTTCCTCTCCCCATTTTCTGTATCCCATATTTCCTATTTCTATTTAGAACCGAGGAAATCTAGTCAAATTAGTGCAGCCTTATATGGAAAGGGTCCAATTAAAGGTAGGAGAATTGCCCATCTAACTCATATTTAATGTTTTAGGTGTTTGTTTTTCTAGTTTTCCTTTCAAATAATACAAAAGCAAAGTGTAAATAAATAGCGTAGTGAATCAGATTACATAGACTAGTATGCTTAATATCAAAGGCCCAATATAACTGAGTTAACCACTTGTAGTTTCCATTAATTTTCCATGAAGTGTATACTAATGCTCAACAGTGCATGGTTCATCAGGAATAGAGGGCAGATATTTCAGAATACATCTCCAAGAATCCCTTGCCATGGCTGGTTGGATCTAAAGCATCTGTTGCTCTTATTGCACATAAGGCTTAACAATGCACAACTCTCTCTATATCTCTTCAGAAGTAACTGAATGCTATGGAGTTTCCAGCCTATCCAGGATGAAAGCAATCCAGTTGAACTCATTGGGATTTCTTCTTAAAAAAAAACCAAAAAAAAAAAAAAAACCAGAATATCAAGCAGTCAATGAGCATGTTATGCCCTAAGAATTTCCAAGGTGTTATCATATATAATGGCAATATGAAATTATAAAACCATAAAGTACAAATGCACATCCTGATGATTGTGTAGAGCTATAAACAGAAACAAACTTTAGAAGATTAAAAAAATAATTAAACCGTAGTTATTTTTTTTATTGGAAATTTCTTTGGGTTTTTTTATTTCAACATCAAGTTCCATGATAAACATATAGTATTTGAAATACTTATCAGACATTGTTTTCTTCTTATATTGGATTTTTATTCCAATTTGATTTTGTGTAATTCCAAGCAGCATTCTTAATGTTTTCACCCCCTTTTCTCTTTTTGCCACAACAACCCTATGTAGTGGGTTAGAAGAGAGAGAAGATGCCAAGACCGGCCCAAAATCATCCAGCCAGCTTTCATGGCTAAAAGAGGACTAGAGGACTTAGTTTTTAGTCCAGCACCTTAATCCCCACATAAACGAGCTCTGTTTTACAACTACAAGTGGGATTTGGCTCCAGTATGGCTGAACAGTTGCAAGCACAAGTACTTCCATTATTAAGCAACATGCATGCATACAGATTGAAGACGCAGCATTCATATACAGATCACAGCCTCAAGAGGTTTATACTCTTATTAGTCAAGGCAAGAGAGTGATGAAAGAAATTATGGAAAAAAGGACAATAATCATACGGAAAGGAAAGAAAAAGTGGTTAGGGAAGCCTCAATCCTGGGGCAGTGGTGTCAGTGTCCCTCATCATCACTTTATCTTGTAAAATAAACAGTCAATCCCAGAAACAATTGGGCAGGAGGGAAAGTATTTCCAAATCTGATTTTATAAAATTGGCATTGTGAAGAGGGAGCTGTAAACCTAGACAAATGGAGTAGAGCTGGAATGGTTATTATATTTTCAAGCTCTTGCATGCTGACAAGCAGGCCCAGTGGGGTTCAGTGGTGAAATTAGTGTATGAAAAAGCAGCCAAGAAGACAGGTCTAAAAGATGGACTGGCAGCCATGCACTGAGCTAAGCCATCTTGGAGATAACAGGTTGTCAGTCATCCAAGTGCTGCTTATACATAACATACCGCATTACTGAACTCCCACTACTGAGAGAATTAAACCTGTCTACACACACACAAACATCTCCAGTGTTCTGATTACATTTACAGAGGTTGTGACCTGCACTTCCGTCTCTATGGAAACCTCTTGCACTGCCAAAATGGAGTCAGAGTTGTTTCACCATGGGTGGCTCATCTTTAAAGGTAAAGAGACTTTACTAACTTAGCTCAGAAGGAGCCCACCTTTTGCTCTTTCCCTACCCTCAGACTTTGCAGTTTCAGAACAAAGAGATAAGCTAAAAATAAATTCAGATAAAAGGAGCCATAGAGTAAAAAAAAAAAAAAAAAAAAACCTGGAATGGAAAAGTAAACATTCAGATTACCTCAAAATTTATTAAGGGGCAAAGACATAAAGCAGCTGTCTGAAATCTGATCTTGTCCAGATGTATTTAATTTTTGTGGCCATAATAACTGGGTGATCATGGGAGATGAAGTCCAACATATCTCGAGACAGGGAAGTTAAGGGAACTTGGGTTTAAATGCCCTATCAATGTTTAATGTCAACAGACTAGTTTCTAAGTTGGTCATTCACGGCATACAATGAACTCAGTGGGATTTCAAACTGTCATGCTAAATATGATTAAAAGTATATTTGTATCTTATTAGCCTAATTTATGTCTCAAGGTTATCGGGAGGATATATTTGGATGATAAGTATAATACAATAATCCTCATACAACCATTCATTTAGTGATTGTTTGAAGTTACACCAGCATTATATGTGCATTTTTATGGACACAATGTGAATCTCACAATCGACAAATGGCTGCAAAAGTTGATGGAGTTAGCAGAGATGGCTAAATTGGCTGCTTTGGTTAAAGAAAAGAATACAATTAATTTTGTTACTACTCGGAAATCGTTTTTGGACTTTGTGCTTGAGGTGGGAAAAAATGAAACTTTGATTTAGGGTTTTGCTAATTACCATATTTTTTGGAGTATAAGACGCACCTTTTTACCCCCCCAAAAGGGGGTGAAAATTTAGGTGCTTCTTATACACCGAATGTAGCCCTCCCCACCCACTGGCCCCCACCCTTTGGGACAGCAGTTACCTCCTTGCAAGCAAACAGCAAGAAAAAACAGCTCCTTTCAGCTTCAGCATAAGTTAATTAGCACAAGTTGATTAGTTCAGCCTCCCGACTCTCAGCTGATTTGCTCTCAGCTGTTTTGTGTAGGGCTCTGTTGCTTGCTGGAAAGAGTGCTGGAGCAGATTTTTTTTTCCCCTAGCTATGCTGAAAAACAAAACTGAAAGTAAAGCTGTTTGTTCTAACGAGGCAAAATTGCTCAGAGACAGAGAGAGATTTCTTTTTCTTTTTCCTCACCAAAAAGGGTAGGTGCAAACAATGGGAAATTTAGGGCAAAAGAGGAGAGTTCAAGATTTTAAATCACAAAAGAAAAAAGGCAAAAATAAAAATGGGAAGGGAGAAAAATAAATGAAAGAGAAAGATGTTATACATATTTAGAATTGAAATATGAAATAAGTAAGAATTGAAGTAAGAAATAAATGGGAAATCATGATTGTAAAAATGAAATGAATAATAATTGGAATATTTTTCTAAATGGGCAAAACTTTGGATTATTAGGAGAGTTTAAGATGTGAAAATGAGTAACATAAGGGGAAAGCTTCATTTAACTAGGGAATTGTAATAATTGAGATACTATTAATTGTATATTGTGTTGAAAGCAGAAATGGTTAAGTTGTGGTTTGGAGGAATATATAGGGGAAATTATTTAGTTTATTATTATTATTGGTACATATAATTAATTGATTTGTAAGAAATTGGATTGCATGGAAATAATTGGAATATTCATGTTCATATTGATTAATATACAAAAAAGATAATTATATAACTAATTGATTTATATAAAAATGTTGAATTTGTATTAAACAATTGTAATATTACATAATTAACCAATGTGAGGATGGATATAAAAATAGATGATAATGGGAAGGGGTATAATATAGAATTGAAGGGAAAAATTGAATTTGATTAAGATTAGAGATGAGAATGAAGGGTAATATTGGTTTTTTTTAAAAAATAGATGAGGAATAAATATGGCAAAAAGGAAATATAGAAATTGTAAATTTAATTGAAATGACTAAACACTGTTTAAATTTGTGAACCAGCCAAATACTCTGTTCAAAGAAAATACATTGTATGTTTGTATGTGTGTTTGTCTAAAAAATAAAAAAAAACTTTTTTAAAAAAACAACAACCAAAAAAGGTAGGTGCATCTTATACTCCTGTGCGTCTTATACTCCGAAAAATACAGTAGATAGTTTGATGTTATATAAATGGCTAGTATATATTATTATATAAAAGTAAAAAGTTGAGGTTTCATGTTATTCTACTGCCCCCAAAATAGTTGGAAATCAATGTTTTTCCCCCCACTACCCTGTTCTTTTCTCTATTCCCCTTTTCTTCCTCTATTTTATCTTTTTCATCTTTCTTTATATTTTTGTATTTTATGCTTTGATAAATTATTACAAATTTTTGAACTCCAAAGTTACACTGGCATTGAAAAAAGTGACATGATCAGTCCTCACCACCATCACACCATTCCTCACAGTCATGTGATCAAAATTTGGGCACTTGGCAACTGTCATGTATTTACAATGGTTACAGGATTCCAAGATCACATGTTTGCCATTTGCAGCCTTCCCAGCCAGCTTTCAACAAGCAAAGTTAACGGAGAAACTCAGATTTCCTTAACAATCACATGATTCACTACTTAACAACTGCTGTAATTCACTTCACCATGGCAAAAAAGGTCCTAAAATTGGACACTTAACAATTGTCTTTCTTAGCAATGGAAATTCTGGTCCCTATTGTGGTCAAAAATCAAGGATTACTTACCTCAATTCAGTTGAGAAAAAATGAAATATAAATGTAGTTATTCAATCAGATCCTTTGCAGAGAAACAAATTGCTCCAGTCTCATAAACTTGAGAAATGTATCTAAGCAGAAATCAGGGGACTGGTAGATTCTAGCTAAATCGACAATTCCAGGTGAGTCTCAAGCAAGTGACTCAAATGACATGGCATAAGGGAAGGTTTGAAAATATTTCCCTCAAAAATCGCTAGAATGGAAAAGATTATATAGATCTTTTCCAAGCAGCTAAATCAGATCTTCACCTTAGGTTCTATACCAAATGCCAAAGCTCAGCTTAGTAGTACATGAAGTGATGAACCCCCAAAATCACCCTAACCAAAGCCCTAAAACCTGATAA